GTGTACCCCGCCTCTCGCCCTATGACAGCTGGGATAGGCTCCAGCGCCCCCCGCGACCCAGAAAAGGATAAGCGGAAGCGAATGGATGGATGGATGGATGGATGGATAATAATAATAATACATTTTATTTAAAAATAGTGCCTTTCAGAACACCCAAAGACACTGTACAGCAAATAAAACAGATATATATATAAAAACAGAAAAACTGGAAATATACACAATAATAAGAGTAACAGATAAAAGTTAAGAGCATGCAGAGGTTTAAACATAAGCAATTTTAAACAGGTGAGTTTTGAGGGTGGACTTAAAATGAGGGAATGAAGTAATATTTCTGAGGTCAAGAGGGTAAGGAACGCCACAGTCGAGGGGCAGAGCAACTAAAAGCCCCGCCCCTCATTGTAACTGGGGGGCAGGGCTAGATCTAACTAGATCTCCGCTGAGGCTCTATACCGCACAAGCTGGGAAGGACTGCTTCAGGCGCTGAAATGAGAGTGGGCGTGTTACTTGCATGTAGTAGTTGAGTGGCAAATCTGCATACTGATGCTACTTCCACTCTAGCTGTTTGCCTCCAGCAGGTTAATGACATCTTGATCCATGGCCAGTTTAATTACCAAAGTACTGCTGCTGAGGAGATGGTGGTCACTGCTGTTTGTGGCTGCACTGTTAACATGACTTGACTCGCAATGTCTAGCATGGTTTTCAGTGCTGCTGGCCCCCCAGGTTGGCTGAGATGGAAGTCCGATAGCTGTTGTCGGGACATATCAGCCTATCAGGAGTGGCTGAGCATTCATAAATGGTTTCAAGGGGAAAGTCTGGAGGTGCCTATAAGTGCACTGAAGTGCCTACACAGTTTAAAAGTGTTTGGCTACACCAAGCCCATTTTACACAAGACTTTTAACTGGCACCAGTCAACCTGGTGGTGCAGTTCACATCACCAGCAGGGATTTTTTGGCTTTGACCTATGTATAGTTCTGCTGTCAGCTGTCTAAAATGTACACACTGATCTGATACATTTGGTGTTTTGCTAGAGTAAGAGTCATACGCTTTGACCTTCTCTGTGAGCATTTGGGGAATTTTGAGCTGTTGTTAGCAGAGTTGTGACCACATCTGAAGAGCAAGAGAAATCCTTTCAGAGAGCCAATTGATCCTGACCAGAGTCCAGTGTGTCTGATGTAAAATGGTGTTATTTTACTATTTGTATATTCAGTATTGGTGTTTTGAGCTACTAGTGCAGTTGTTGCCAAACGCAGTGGTCTAATTAGCTCGATCTGTTTAATCCAATGAGGGGGATATTTCATCTGCACATATGCGATTATGTCAAGCAGACCCAAAAGGGCAGACAAACTCAAAACAACCCAAACTCACAATGCAGTGATGAAGGTTATTTACCGTGCAATTTGACGACACAGGAAAGTACTTATAGGCTGGTAGCACATGAGGGATCGGAGGGGAGAGGGAAAACTTGACATTTTAAATTGTCAAGTTAACAAGTGGAGTTATCGAGTGAATCAATAAATCCTACCTGTCACACTTTTTACAGCAGACAGCTGGCTGAGTAGGTGAACAGGTTAGTAGACTGGTAAGTAGGCAAACTGAGGCAGGCTGGTGACACTGAGACATCCAGGTAAGGGGAACGCTGGCATGTCGGAGCGGTGAAAGTGGCAGGAATCCAGCACGGTTCTTCTGGCAGCTCTTGGCAGAAACAGCCATGCAACCTTGACAGAGGTTTCTCTGCAGGAGAGAGAGAGTCTTGGAATAGACTTGTTGCCTCTGAAAAAAAAACAGCTGCTCCATAAACATGCCAAACAATCACCAGATGAGCCAGAGAAACCCTGGATGCCTGTCCATCCACGTATTACTAAAGAGACTGAGGAAAGTCAAAAACAAACTCTGGTCAGCCTTTATCACAACCAGTGTTTGAAAAATCAAATGCTGCAAATCCGTCCCACAGATTTGTTGGTCTGAACAGCTGCATTAAGATTAAGTGAAGCAGAAGAATATTTTTCACAAGTGTGTAATGGCCTTGAGGTGTCTTTGAACTTGAGATGATCACAGAGCTCTTGGTATTTAAACCTATGGCATCAGGTAGAAAAATCTTTTCCTCAGTCTAACTCAGTCTAAAGGGGCGACCGTGGCTCAGGGGGTTGGGAATCGCATCTGTAACCGGAAGGTCGCCGGTTCGATCCCTGGGCTCTCTGTCCTGGTCGTTGTGTCCTCGGGCAAGACACTTTACCCTACTTGCCTACTGGTGTTGGCCAGAGGGGCCGATGGCGCGATATGGCAGCCTCGCTTCTGTCAGTCTGCCCCAGAGCAGCTGTGGCTACAACCGTAGCTGCCTCCACCAGTGTGTGAATGTGAGAGTGAATGAATAGTGGTATTGTAAAGCGCTTTGGGTGCCTTGAAAAGCGCTATATAAATCCATTATTATTAAAGAGTTTTGCTACAAAATTGATGTGACACAAAAGATAAATACATGTCAGTAACAGGTGATAATCATATGTCAGTGCAGTCCCCAAAATAGTAAAAATACACATTATCTTCCAGCGATTTAGTTACAGAAACATCACTTTTACCTTAATCTTCTTTTTTTTTTTGATGTTGCTATTTTTTTAATTTAAAACATACAGACTGAAAATCTCGTTGGTTCAATATTCAAAAGGTTCTGTGTTAGCTACATGCTTCTCATTACTGTCAGTGTGTTTGGATGCAGGGTGTGTATGCCGTGGGGAATTTCCAGCCTAGTGAAGATTGCTCCGGGAGTACACAACCTGCCCCCATACTGAGAGAGCCACCCCTCTCCTCCTTGCCCAATGTCAGCCAGTCAGCAATTGGCAACAGCCACCAAGGTAAAGCTACGCCTGCTACTTTAAATTACAGGTTACATCATCCTGACATGTCGATTAGTAACATTGTTTCCAGAAAGAATGTTCTTAACAACTGTTTTTGATCTGAGGGGCTCTCGGGGTTCAGCCCAGTCCTAACAAGTGTGATCCTGGGCCAGTGTGAAAATACTTATAACTCATGGAAAAGCTCACAGTATGACTTTCAAGAAGCTAGAACTTGAAAATCTTTGGCATTTTTGCTTGATTGAGATTAATTTTCTTCATTATTTTGCTGTGATTGATAACTATAGGCAAAAGAGTTGTGTATGTTCAGTGAGCATGAAAATACTAAATGTCAGATTTTATTAAGTGGGTAATGTGATGTTTAAATGTCACACGATTCCTAAAGTTGATCAGCTGAAAGGTCTCTTGATACAGCTGTTGTTGTCAAGTAGTATTCTCAAGACCACTGTAGTCAGTCGACTCCTCCGAATTTAAATATTCATCTTTTTTTAATAATTCATGTGTTGAAATGTGAATCTCGAGTGCTGCCATTTATAATGAAGACTGGCTAATGTAAGTGAGCTCCTAATCAGAAAGGACTGCTGTGGTTACCGACTGCACTAATTCATATTTAGTGGTATGATTTCAATTCAGTTCAGTTCAAGTCACAACAACAGTCGCCTCAGGACGCTTTATATTGTAAGGCAGGCCCGACAACAAGACAATTAAATTACCACTTTTGAGCAAGCACTTGGAGACAGTGGGCAGGAAAAACTCCCTTTTAACAGGAAGAAACCTCCAGCAGAAGCAGGCTCAGGGGGGGGCGGCCTGGTTGGGGTGATGGGAGGAAGACAGGATTAAATACACACTTTGGAAGAAAGCCAGAGATGAATAATAAGTAAGGATTACATGCAGTTATGTAAAAGCAGATAGTGAAGAAGAAATACTTCATGGGAAGCCCCCCAGCAGCCTTGGTCTCCCATATGGAAAAGATTTATATAAATCTTATAAAGTTTGTATCTGTCTTGTGTGAAACTTGTATGTTTTGGATACTTCCTAAAACAATATATGAAAGTAATGAGAAAGTGGCCACTTTCATGAGTAAATCATATAAGCCTGATATGATTCACTATATGAAGTAGGTCACATCTGATGCAAGTCTTTTATAAGTTTTTACTATTTCTTTTCCATATGGGCTATTACAAATATGAAATAAAGCACGGTGGATTGGAAGATGTGCAGCAACTGTGGCCACGCCCAGCCCATTATCAGCTGATGTGGGCTGGCACTGAGATCAGCTGATCTGTTTGCACTTGAGCTCAACGTCATAAACTGTCTATGAAATATCTCCAAAAGTTGATTCTGTTCATCTGGACGCAGTGTTTTCAGTGGGAGAAACGTTTCATCATCATCCAAGTGACGTCTTCAGTCTCAGCTGACTGCAGGTTTCAATCTTATAAACAGGACATCTGCATAATGACTGAAACCAGCTCAGTGAAGGAACAATAGGCTGGGAGGTCAGTTCCTTAACCTTCCCTGTCCAGGATGTTACATCCTTATCGTTGAAAGAGTGTCCACTGGCTTGTAGGTGTAAACAGAGTCCTGGCCTGACGAGGTGGCTCTTCTGTGTTGTGCCGTCCTCTTCGCCAGAGGTTGTTTGGTTTCCCCGATGTAATGTCTATGAAATACTTACCTGAACACTGTGATGTCACCTGTTGGTTGGTTATGTGCGCTTATGAAGCTATT